AATCTTGTTGGTCGTTGGGAGGGAAGTGGCAGGAGGCGGTCTCTCAGTTAGCCAGGCCCTAAACCATGTAGGGCTTTATAAGCAACAACTAGCACCTTGAAGCGCGTCCGGAGATCAATAGGAAGCCAGTGCAGCTCGTGGAGGATAGGTGTAATATGTGTGTATCTAGATACACCTCATATCGCTCGCGTGGCTGTGTTCTGGACCAGCTGTAGTCTTCAAACACTCTTCAGGGGCAGCCCCATGTAGAGCGTGATAAGTGAATCACTGCAGTTTTTAAGTTAGAAGGCTGCAAAAGGGGAGTCACCTGACCCCAGGACACTGCCACCACCATAAATATAAACCAGTTGCCAAGTATTTGAATTTTGATCGCATGAGCATGAGATCAATGTGAAAAACCAATCATTTTTTCAGTGCTATTGAAAATTCCGTCACTAAACAAATGGTTGTAATTCGTGGACGTGGGTTTGCAATCAACCCCAGTTCCAAAACCCTTTTTCACAAATTTGCTAAGCTGGGTGCTTCTGATTTTTTTTGGTTTCAATAGTTTTTAATTCTCCTCCAAGAATCAAGAAGCCCACTGTGAAATCTTCAGGAAGAAAGGAGACAAGAGGAAGCCCGTTCGGTGTGGCTTTTTTCACAATCGGCTTTTCACAACTAGAGAATCACGCTGTGCACGTACCTCGCTGACCGCTTGGCTAAGGATCTGGATGATCTTCTCGTGCGGCATGGCCACCACGCTCTGCCCGTTGATCTCAATGATGCGATGTCCCACCCGGACGCCACCGCGTTCTGCAATCCCGCCACGCATGAGGCTACAGATCTGGGCACAGGGAAAAGTCCACTTGTACGGCTGGCCACGCCCACCCACATGCCAAAGTTTACCTCAGGCGCACATCCCGATTTCCAAAACCTCACAATCAATCCGTTATGGATTGTAATTTGGATTCCCTTTAAACAGGGAGTTTGGCTTAATTAGTCTCTCAGCCACCCAGACTACTCACAATGCCGTTTTCCACAGAGAATCCTAGGGGATATTTTGTGCCGGGCCTTCGAACAATGGCTGTAGTGACAGGAGGGCAATGGACGATGCTGAGGGTTACTTCTGTCTGGTTTTTCAAATCCTGGAAAGAAAGAAACCATCCTACTGACCTCTAATTAACCAACAGTAAGCATCTTTGTTGCTGGCTGAGGAATTCTGAGAATTGAAATCCAGACAATTTGGGCCACCATAAAATGGCCAAAATTGAGCTATGCTAAATGAGGCAGACTAAATGTCAGAACATGGAGAATGCCTTTACCACACATTATGGCAGCATCCCCACAGTCATGTGATCAAAATTCTGATGCTTGGCATTTTTATGACGGTCCTAGGGGCATGTGATCCAGGGGTGGGATTGAAAAATTTTAGCAACCGGTTCTCTGCTCGGTTGTTAAATGGGCATGGCCTACTCGGCCTCCTGAACCATGGCGGGGTGTGGGTGTTTTCGCCCTCCCCAAACTCTGTGTCAGGCCTGCCAACATTTTCTTTTATTCTACTATGCATTTTCTATTGTGGGAAAATGGGAGGGGGGATTGTACAGGGTTAGATGATATGTAGCCATAACAAAAT